CTTCTATGGTATAAGAAACAATTTCTATTCATTGCATTAGAAATAAGAGGAATTCTTGATCGGCTTCCTGTTTTTTCGTGAAAAACTTTGTTCGTGATAAATGGGTATTCTTTCGCTACATTATCGTTGAAATTTTTTATTTTTGTTACTTTTTATACTTTCGTCGGTAATATACAAGAATATAGATGTCTACATGTGTATATAATTACGAAATATTCAATATTAAGCAGATTTTGTTATGAAGAGTAGTTTTTGAATGCTTCTATTTCTCCAAGTTATTTAATATCGCAAGTTATGCAATGTCTGCATTAAAAAAAAATAAAAGAAAAAAGAAAGAGAAAAAGAAAGAAAGAAAAACCTTCATACTTGTTAAAATAAATATACTTTATCTTTTCAACTCTTCGTTTGAAAATTAATTTACTGACCTTGACGAATTTCTGTTTTACTACATAACGACTGGATTTTCCCTAGGATTTATACTTCGTCTTTTTTTTTTATTCAAGTTTACCAAGAACTTCACAAGATTCACACAGTTAGATTATATTCTTTCATATTAAATGAATAAATTGACAATACGAAAATTACACGTAAAAAATAAAAACGGCTCGTATAGTATTCGAAAATGTTTCAATTTATTATATCGATACAATTAATATCAATTAACTATTGCAATGTTTTATTTTCTCACGATTAAAATATATGTATCATAAATTCATGAACGTATCTACTCTTTTTTATCGCACATTATTTATTACTTCATTTTTATAGGAAACATTTTGTCTCGTTCATTATTCCAAACATTTTAATCGACGCTCTAACGTATAATTATATTAAATTAACCCTGATAACTTATTCATTTCTCATTCTCTCTAACGTGGTAAAGTCATAGTTTAGAAAAGATTGTTAAACTTTCACACAAACGTGTTTCTTCGAAGTTACTATCACATTCATTATTTTTAATAATCCTTTCGTCATTATTACACCACACATAGGTGTTTCTTTTCTTTTTTTTTTCTACCGGAGAACTTTGATCAACGTTGATGATGCTATTGCATGACTGTACATTTTTATCTTCTCATCATATGTACTTGCATATATATATATATATATATATATATATATTATGTATATATATATATTAGGTTGGGGAAAAAGAAATCCATTATTTTTGCGTGAACTTCAAGACTTTATTTAACATGTTTCGGATTGTCCGATTTGGGTCAAATAAAAAAAGAAATAATATAATGGATTTATTTTTCCCCAATTTATATTTTTTTTTATAATATATACATATATATCTATATATATATATATATATATATATATTAGGTTGGGGAAAAAGAAATCCATTATTTTTGCGTGAACTTCAAGAATTTATTTAACATGTTTCGGATTGTCCGATTTGGGTCAAATAAAAAAAGAAATAAAATAATGGATTTATTTTTCCCCAATTTATATTTTTTTTTATAATATATATATATATATATATATATATATATACATAATATATACACATACATATATATACATAATATATACATATATATATACATATATATTATGTATATATATATAATATAATATATATATGTTTAATATGTTTAATATATATATAAATATATATATATGTTTCGCAGGTTTCAAAGTGTAATCGAAATATATTTTCTGAGATGAAAAGAGAGAAAGAATCTTTTTTTATAGATTCTTTGTTCAAAGTTTGCATCGATGTGTTGATGTGTAATATGAAGATCAGTGATGCGTAAACTATGAAAAAAGAAAAAGAAAATATGTTTTATGAGTTATATATACAACAATAACAAAATTTGCAAATAGATTTTTTATTTACTTTTATAATAAAAATCGAATAACATTATCACAATGTATCTTTATATTTATTGATATAATTTGACAAATGGCCTCAGGGAAGAAATTAATTTAAGATTAATCTATCTAAGAATAAAGATAGTATATTTAAAGAGTTCGCGAGAGATTTAAAAAAAACGTATCGATTTAAAGATCGATATTACGATGTCATGTCGATCGTTCTTTTGATCGAATTAATATGACATCATTTAAATCAAAAGTAACTCCCTTAATTTGCTTGACTCAGCTTCGGCGATATTTAACCCTCTCCTTCCCCATTCCCCCATCACCGTACTTCACTTGATAAAACGAATTCGTCTCAATTAACTGATTCAGCCAATCTCGCCTTCGCCACGGTTCGTTTCGATTGAGTCTAACGAAAATATCGAGAAGTTTCTCGTGTCCTTGTCTATGTTGTTAACGAAGAAAATAAAATAAATAAATGATTACAATATAAAGGATCGTTATACTAACGATATTAATCTTGTTACGTTTAAATTCTTAGAAATGGTATCGCCTACATTTACGTTACATCGGATATTTTAAATTGTCACTTTAAAAGATTTGAAACTTTTATTAAAAAAGATAGATTACTTATTCGCGTGCGCATTAAAATAACATTGGATAATTTCCGTATCTTTATGGCATAATTTAATATAATGAATTTGTTGTTACAATTGAGATACGATCGACTGATATCTCGGACTTTTGATGGACGATAAATTATTGTAATTACACGCCCACACTATATATATATATATATATATATATATAATATTTACAATAATTTATCAAATCTTTATAATAATATTAATACATTAATATAATTATAATAATATATATATATATATATATCTCCTGGTTTCCTGATTTTCATGAGAATTCTCATTTTACTGAGAAATTCACGTTTTAATCGTCTCTCAATCGCGTGCCGTGACCGACAACGATGCTTCCGTTTCTTGATTTTAACCCTCGTTAAATGGCATGCATGCTCGTCCTTGAGCACTCCTTCGTAGTTCCTCTTCGTTAACATAAAACTATAATAAGAAAAAATTTTCTACGAAATAATTTTGTGCCATTCTTTTTTTTTTCTCTCTCTCTTTTCTCTTCTTGGGCCTATTAAGACTTCTCTTCCTCTCTCTTTCAGTTCCTCTTTATCTCATTCTTATAGTTCGTTCATTCGATGGCCTTAGTCAACGCCGTAACGATAGGATTAAAGTCCACGCGCTTAATCACGTTCGTGTTTCCGGCCTGGCATTTGAATATCGCTCGTGACGCGTCGAATTTTAAGTTTTACTAGTCCTTAACACGTCGCAGATCGTTGCAGTTTAACAAACGTAGCGCTATTTGATAGTGCTACTTGTATAATTAACGAGGTCTTTCATTTTTAAGTTTTAACGTTACAAATAATTAACTAGATTTCACGGCAATCACGTATTTTATAATTTCAAAGAATTTTCTTTTGTTCATTTTTCCTTCTTTTTTTTTTTTTTTTTTTTTAAATTACTATTACGTACAACTTAAAAGAGCAAAAAGAAAATACAAAGATTTATTTCGAAGAAACATCCTGTATCCGTTACATTTGATTCAAATACGACAAATTTTAAATTACAACAAAAAAATTTAATATATACATAATTACGAATCCCGAAAATCGCGTTCCTTTCAATTTAACATTTCCTTTTTCTTTTTTCAAATTTCTATTGTGAACAATTTAAAATTTAAAAGAACAAAAAAAAATATAAAGATTTATTTAAAACTTTGTCTTTTGTTATTTTTGATCCAAATTCTAAAATATAACAAAAAGATGTAAGATATAAATATACATATACATATATATAAATATATATATATATATATATATATATATGTATGTATTTATGTATGGATTACACTATATTATATATAGATACCGGTTTGTTAAAAATAAAAAGACGAAGTCTCAATGATTTTTATCCTTATTTTTCTCTTTTTATCCTCGTAAAGTTTCTTCCCCTCATTCTTTCTCTCTTTCTTTCTTTCTTTATTCTCTTTCTCTTTTTATCTTCGTCACAACGATACGTATCAAGTCGATTGACCTCCGGCTCCTCCTCTCGGATAAATTAACTAGAAAAAAAGTTTTGTGCCGCTCGCTTTCAATTGCTCTCTACTCTTCGTGTTTAGACTTTTATTCGCGGCGACTGGCTTGACTGGATGGATGAGAACGGCTCTTTCCTTCGGTTGACGTGTTCTTATTGTTATTATTGTTACTATCTACAAGGCTCGTTATCTCGTTTGTAATTCTCTAGCTCAGTCGATGTATTCATGAAAACACATACAAGCAGCTAAACTCATTGTGTTCTAGAATAATTGGGAGAATTTAGTTTATCATTTTTACTTTTCTTTCTTTTTTTTTTTTCTTTTAATCTCTTTTATGACAAGTGGATTTTCTTTATTGTATTCATTACATCTTTTGCAATTTTTATAGAAAGAGAAAAAGACACAAGAATATAGAGAGAGTTATTTATTAATCTTTTGCGATCACGCTTCTTTCTTCTTTTCTCGTGAAATGAATATATACGTAACATTTAAATATGTCCTAGAGAAAAATGATTATACATCGTATGATTTTAAATATGATATGCCTATGTACGTATGTACATTGACACGTACTATGACACGTAATGCGCAATTTGTCCCACTATTCTCGTCTATTGCTGTAACTAGCGGTGAGAAATACACGTATACGAATCTATCTTAACGATGATAATGATGATGATGATGATGATGATGATGATGATGATGATGATGATGATGATGATGATGATGATGATGATATCGTGATCTAAAATGACTCTCTATATCAAATTGAATACAGTAACGACTTATATTCCTTTATCAATTTGATTAGCTATAACTTTAGTTATATGTTTATTTCTTAATCCTGTTCAGGTTCGTTATTTGATTGATCCGTAATTAAAAACGAAATAATTGACGATTAGGAGAATGAAACAAATTATTTGTATCACCGTATATAATGGCGTACGGATAAAAGAGAGAAAATCCATATGGATGTGTTTGCCATTCCGTGAAGTTGAAATGGAAGGCTTTTACCTGTCTCTCCGTTTAAAGTCATCACTGACGGCGACTCTCTTTAGCAGGTAACGACAACAAGCGATCAAGGACGTGCGACATCTCGAACGCGGGGACATCCTGTGCCAAGAATGAAAGATGTGTCCAGAAAAAGATCAATGATCAGGTAGAATCGTTGTGCGACTGCGAACAAGGTTACGAATACGTAAAGGATGATGAGTGCAAGCTTAGTGTATCGCAGATTCTAATCAATTCGACGACGTTCAGATCAGATCACGCAGAGGATTCAGGAGGTATGATCTATATTTCTTTCTTTCTTATTTAATAAAAAGAAAAGAAATGAAATGTTTAAAAGACCCTCCCTAAGATATTTCATTTTTATTACATTTTATTTCCTTAATTTAATTAATTCAACCGATAAATCATTGAAGTAGGCCTAAATAGTATTCTTATAATCTATACCGATATAATAGAAAATAAGAAATAAATTCAATTTTTACAAATTTTTTTTACATACGCCATTTTCGTGATTAATCGGCACGATTGTAATGATAAAGTGAATATCTCATCGAGCTATTTATATGTAGTAATTGAACAGATTTCTTTTTCTTTTTTAATTTTTTTTTATCTAATCGAGATTCATACATTTTCTCTCTCTCTCTCTCTCTCTCTCTCTTTATATATATGTATAGCTAATGTTATATTTTCTTCAGGTAGCTCAGTAGCCGCCGGTCTTTTGATACCAACTTTCCTCATAATAATTGGCGTCGTACTATATTTCGGTGCGAGACGATATAGTTGGCTCCAACGATTTCGACAATACCGGCAACGTCGTTACGGCAACGTCCTAGTCACAAGAGACGACGATGACGATGACGATCCTCCAATAGCGTAAGAAGAGAGAAAAAATGTTTGGAAAAGAAATAAATAAGAGAAAAAAAAATATGTGTAAAAAGAGAGAAAAAAAGAAAGAAAAAAAGAAAAGAAGAAGAACGTTTTGATCGGGACGCACGCACCTACTCGCCATGATAAGATAGATCGTTATTGATAGATGTCAGAATATTTATATACATACTACAATATCGAATATTTCGATCGCCAGCAAAGTATAATAAACATCGCGTCGTTCTTTTGTATATGCGCATTTCTGTATGTTACTTTCGTTTTTGAATTTTTCTTCTGTATAATTTTTTTTTCTTTTTTATACATACACGAGTAATAACTAGACACGATCGAACAATAACAATTATCGAACATGGCAGGTGAAATGAATCGAGAAGCCAAATGTAAAGAGGTACTTGAGTGAGAAATGATTTTTTAAATACCTTTTTCAATATCAGCGGTATGTGCCTTTTCTTACGGCTAATTCACCTCTAATAGTACCTTTTGTAATTTTTTGGTTATTGACTACTTGTTTCTCATTCAAGTGCAGCTATATCTATATTTATATAAAATATATATATATATGTATATATATATATATATATATATATATATATATACATACATATATACAGACAGACAACAAACATACATATATATATATATATTAAAATTGGGTACGATACGATGAGCTACCCATTTGATATTCTCCTTAAGATATACTATCGTCGAGTGCATGATTTTTTATATTAATATTTGTATGTTTGTAAATTTGATGTCAACATAAATATATATATATATATATATATATATATATATATATATGTATATATATATACACATATATAAATATTGTCTATAAATTCGAGACAATTTATAGACAAAATATATATATATATATATATATATATATACATATATATACACATATATAAATATTGTCTATAAATTCGAGACAATTAATGAAAGTAACACGATGCGTTCTACTATAAACAAGATGAGAACTATAATAGAATTATGTTTAATATAGTTGTCTTTCATTTTCGATATGATTGCGAATTTCTGTATTCAATAATGTAATGAATACGAAACACGTAACGCGATTGTTTGTATCTGTTTTATAACGTATTGAATTCATTATCGAAATATGTTAAACACTTTGGCTACTTAGAATAATGTATTTTTTCTTTTTTTTTTCTTTTTTTTTTTTTTTTTTTTTTTTTTTTTGGTACAATGAACTAAGCATATTTTTTGTACGATATAATTCATTGATTCATAACCAACGACGCTGTTCTTGTCGGAATCGCGTTACGTTCGATGATTGAATAATTATTTTCTTTATGTAGTCTTGTTCCTTAGAAAATAATTTTAAATTCGGTTGATTCACAACGATGTTCGTTTTAACAAATGTTATCGTTTACCAAAGAATCGGTGAATTCAAATGTAGTCATTGGTTCCTTGTCGAATGAACGTTGCGAAATAATGATATTTAAAAAAAAAAAGAAAAAAAAGGATATAAAGAAAAAGGATAGAAAGAAAGAAAAGGAAAACGAGTGGATAAGAAAACATTAACGAGAAGTTAACTTTTAAATTACAAGACATATGGGAACATACACCAGCTTTTATACCAAAACTATATTGAATTTCATAATCATGCTCAATGTCCTTTTCTCTGTAATATAATAAAAAAAATTTGTAAATATTCCTTTTTAACAAACACGGCAGTATATTTCTTGCCAATAATTCATGTCCTATATTGTAATCTAGAAGAAGATTATATTCTTAAGGTGCACGAGCTTCCGCTCGCAGATAATAATCGTGGAGCACTTGCGACATATTACATTTATACGTATAATATGTATAATTATATATATGCATGTATATATATATATATATATATATATATATATATATGTATATATGTATATGTGTGTATATATGTACGTTTTTGAGCATATGCATACGTATGTATATTTACGCGCATGTATATGTGATTCGTGCAGCATGTATGTGTGTGTGTGTGTGTATACATATATGTATGTATGTATGTATGTATACGTGTACATACGTGTATATGCGTGTAACCTATTCTTGTACTCTATCATTTTTGTACAGAAATAAGCATTATAAGCAAGATAGATATAAATTCTGATTTTTATGCGCAGATAAAAGCGGATGTTCGTCTGTATTATGGCAAGATTTAATATTTTTATAGTTCGCAAGACCAAACTTTAGTCTACGAATGGTACTCGCGAATTATTATTATTATTATTATTATTATTATTATTATTATTATTATTATTATTATTATTATTATTATTATTATTATTATTATTATTATTATTATTATTATTATTATCATCAATTATTATCTTTAAGTTATCTATTTTGCGCGTCGATTTATATTCTGTAATAAAAAGAAATTAATTAATTACGCGAGGACTCTTTTGTTTATTTGTTGTATCGTGCATGTATCAGGTTGTTGTCATTGTCGCATTGCAGTGATTTGACTGAATAACGTAATATCGTAACTGTTAATTGTTTTTAGCAATAGCCATGCATACGCAAATCTTCATTGAAACATGTTATACACTTGTTACAGTATTATACATCCCTGTTTCGTCGAGATGGTCTTATAAATAATTTTTTTTGAGCTTCCTTTGAATTCTTTTTTGTTTCTTTTTTTTTTCCTTGGAAATAAAACGTATATTTTGTGTATTCGTGGTTTTTTTTAGTAAGTTGTACATTTTTACTCTGTGATGTGCATAATGTTATCTTTTAACAGAAGTTTGTTATTGATTGAGACACACTATTTTTTTTGGCACAGTTGATGATATATATCATAACGATATTCACAAATTATTATTATTATTATTATTTTTTCTTTTTTTTTTTTCGGAAATAATGTCTGCCATCATACAAATATTTTTACATATAATCTTCTGCATATTTGAAAATTACTATAATTATCCGTAAGTCTATATATACAAATCGTTTGATTCAAAATTATGCACTCATCTGTTTGAATGTAAAAGATATACTTTTGGAGGTGCTGTTTATTTCATTGGCATATATGAAGAGCACCTAATAATGTTTCATTACGTAATTTATTTTGTACTATAATAATAAACATTTTTGAATTTCTTACTGAGATAAGTTTTGATTGTATTATTAACAAAAGAAAAAAAAAAGAGAGGAAGTAGATCGATGTAAGCAAAGTTAAGGATATAATTTAAAGGTATCAAATAACGAATACTTGAAAGAAATCCTTTTTATATATATATATATATATTTTTTTTTTTTTATATCGTACGCAAATACCGACAATATAATTTACATTATTATCATGATGTAAGATATACACTCAGGAAGTTCGCTGTGTTCGCTCTAACATCTAATATATAATAATTTTATTTGACGAATTGTGGATCGTGAAGTAACCTTTTTATAGGAAAACACTTTATAATTTATCGCTCTTAAGATATAATTAAATTCGAGAGAATATCGATAATCGCACATGTATTTACAAGTTTAGTCGACGAAACACAAAGGCCAAACAAAAGGTCTCTCGTCGCCTACTATATTTTCTAAGTTATCTTTACGTCTCTAAAGAAGTAATAATTGGGGGCCACGTGAAAAAATCTCAAAAGTTATCGTAGTTTAGAAAATAAACTTGCTGTTAGACAACTAAATCGTACTAGATGAGGATTCCTATTTCATGCACGCTATAGGGATTGTTAAGGAAGTACGGAGTTTCATGTAATAATAGAGATCGTCTACTTTTTTGTTTGAACAAAGAAACGAATAGATTTTTTTTTGCAATTTTATAGGAGCGACAAAAGATGTAAAAATCTTTTACTTGGAGTTTTTCATTTACGATTTGATTTTTGACAATCCTGAATAAATAAAATATTATAAAAGGAAAAGAAAAGAAACGAGCGTTTTTTTTTCTCTGCGACATCTAACGCAGAGATGTAATCGAATTTTTTTTTTCTTTTTTTGCTTTTTTCTATTTTTTTTTCTTATTGCTAATCATTCAATTCTATATTGAAAATTGTATCGTGATATTTTTTTTGCATGATTATTTGTGTACGTTAATTGGAATGAAAGACATAAAAGGATGTGATCGTCCAATCCTCACAAAATATCTATCCACATACGATTCCTCTTGTCACAAGCCAATCTCCCTTGAGAATCTTCGTATACGAACAATGAACAATTGAGAAATTAAGGGAATACTTTGGAAATCTTTGAGCTATGTGATCGATTTTCTTTTAATTTTTCTTCGCATTCCCTCCCCTTTTTTATGACGATGATTATCCTCTGTTAATAACCGGTATAATCTTGCCAAGGCTGATTTTGTTGTCTGTAATGTTGTCCATTGTATGAGATTGGTTCCGGTGTTCTATAATAAACATTTCGTTGTCTCTCGTTTGGGATAGCTGGAGCTGGAACAAATTGTGGACTCGGTACGAATGATTTTTGTTGTTGTTGTTGTTGTTGTTGTTGTTGTTGTTGACCGATCGGTCTGGAAATTTTATAATTGTCCTCCGAGGATTGTAAAACTGTGTCTCTACCGAGTTGTCTGTGAAGAGGTAAAACAAAACCACTGGGCAAGTTGGCCTCTTGATTTAACGTAGGTGTTAGTGCATCGTTTAATGTTACGTCGTACTCGCTGTCCGGAATATCTTGAAGTTTATGGGTCACCTCGTTTATTCTTTGTTTTACACGAAAACTACTTGGCCCGGAAGGTTGCTCATGAATATCTTCCGCTTTATAAGTCGAACTGTAGAGATTGGAAATTTCAGTTACGGATTGTCTGCTTTTGCTACGAATAGGTGATCCTGAGGATGTTGGCACTACACCATCGTTACTTTCCTTGTTACTAGTAAATTGTTCGGTAGACCATTTTTTGTTACTTGCCGGTACTTCTGGCTCGAGTGTTTTTCGAATTTCTTCATAAGATTCAGTGGTGACCAATTTAGGTATTGGATTTTGTTCCAATGATTTTGTTACTTCCTCTTCGTGTTGTCTTTCGGCGGGTCTACGTAATATTGGCCTGGCTATAGATATATCATATTCTTCCTGTCTCTGTTTTTGTTGGAGATCGCTCTGTATCACTTTGTAAGCGTCATATGTTTGTTTTTCCTCTTCGCGTTTACCGTCCTGATCGATTCGTTTGCTTTCTTGATCAGGGGACTGTTGAGCGTAATAATCTTTATGATTTTCCTCGTGTTGCTGTTGTAGGATCGTTCTTTCGGTACTTCTGTCCTCCTCTCTTCTCGGTGCTTTCGAACCAACCGGCGAGAGTCCTCTAGGATTGGGAACTCCACCTCGTGATGGTAAAAATGGTCTCTTGACAATGCGCACGGTTGTCCTTGGAGAAGGAATTGGTGGATCCTCAGGTTCGTCGTAATACTCCGATGAATACTCATCCGAGTAAGATGATGAGTGCTGCTGTTGTTGCTGCTGTTGAGAGTATTGAGGATCTTGTTCCTCCTCTTCTTCTTGATCTCGTTCTTGGTAGGTTGTATAATGAGGTGTTTTGATAGATTTCTTACCAATATCTTCCTCATCTTCGAACGATCCCCGAGCACCATTGTTGTTATTGTTGTTATTGTTGTTATTGTTGTTATTGTTGTTATTGTTATTATTGTTATTGTTATGCGATTGTAGGGGTCTTGTTGGGCGTTCCGGTCTTTCGAATCGATCCACGGACGTTTGCTTTGTTTCCGGCTCCACTTCGTGTACTGCCATTTCCGGCATGCATGTCGTGCTCGTCGTTGAGATCGGTCTTCTAGATGTCTCCGTGGTATCTGACAAATCTTTCGATCTGAAGGATGATCGAGATCTATCATCTATCGTTGGCCTATTGTCTCTTTCCCGTTCTAGAGGTCGACTCGAGGAATACGGTCTCTCGGGTCTCTCAGTGTCTTGATATCTTCCACGATCGCGATCCAAGGATCTCGAAGCGGAGAGATCTTTTCCACGATCGATTGATCGATCTCTGCCACGTTCCAAACTACGATCCCTTTCTCGTTCTCTCTCGTAGTAACGGTCTCTAGAGCGATCAGGATGCTTCCTGGGTCGTATATCATCTTCATCCTCGCGATATCGAGTTCTGTAATTAAAAATCATCCATTCTTTTATTTTCTACGAAGATTAAATAGACTTGCATGAACGATATGACGAATTTATGCGTTATTATTAAACCAATCCGATGTTTGATCCGTTCAAGAAACAACTGTAGTTTAGGTATGTTGTTCCTGAGTGCGTCATTAGTGTTCAGACGAGCAATGCAGATTAACGGGTTAACATCGATGAGTAGAACTGTATCTGTGTTGTGTACGTTACCTTACCTGAAGGGTCGATCTCGTTCCCTGTCCCTGACGTCGTAGAAATCACGATCTCTATCTCTTTCTCTATAAGTCGGTCTTCGTCTAAGTGGTCGTCTCATTGGTCTGATATCTTCGAGCTCGTCGTCATAATAATCGTCTTCAAGATCCACAGGTCGTCTTCGAGGTTCTTCTAAATTATAAGTAACATTATTGTAACGATTTTGGAATATATTATATTAAAGAAAATTTCACTCGAGTTATCTTGTTGAGAATATATCATTGCTCGTTCGTTTAGTTTTTGTTTTGTTTATCCATAGGAACAAATTAAAAAAAAAAGAAAGAAAATAAGAAAGGGAAAGAAGAAAATTAAATACCACTTTTTGTTAATAATAAAACCACAAAGTAGAAAGAAATACAAGGGGGAAAGGGAATAGTTTTTTGTTGAACACGCTTGTTAATCTTAAGAAAATAAACCTAAACTGGCGTTGAAACAAATGTAAATTGATCAAGTGGAACGGGAAGAACCGGCTTACCAGTAGATTGCGCAGACGTTGACTTATAAGCGTAGCGGTCTTGTTCGGATAATGGTACCGGTCTTCGAATTTTAGGTGGAGCCCTTGGTCTGGAATACACAGAAGAGATTGGAGCAGCTGGTTTGACGAGTCCTTCGGTAGCACCTATCGATCCTTGATTTGACAGAGCACCAGCAGAATCCTTATCATCATAATCATCCCTGAACCTATTATATTATTAGACAAAACAATGTATCTACATATATTTTGATCGTAGTATAAAATCCTTTTACTTACCTTTTATCGGAATACCTTCTATCATCGTTGTCCCTGCCTCTCGAATCGATCCTTCGATCGTCCAATTCCGAATCTTCGATCTCTCGCGATCTAGATTGTTCTTGTTCTCTATTCTTCAATCCTCTTGCGTCCTCTTCTGGTGGATCTCTTGGCCTTGCTTGATCCCTCCTATTATTTCTATTTGGATATCTTTCTCTAAGAGAAACGTCCCGATCTCTTTCGTCTCTTATTGCTGTATCCCTGGATCTAGCAGTATCTCTATCACGAAAATCACGATCGCGATCTCTTACATCTCTATCTCTATCTCTTCTATATTTCCTATCTTCGTACTCATAATCATCTCGTCTGTCATATCCACGTGGTCGAGTGTACTCGTCGTCATAATAATCCTCATCATAATAATCATAAGGTCTTCTTCTTGAATATGGTCTTCTTCGTCTTAATGGATCTCGTTCGCGCGAGGAACCTCGGCCATTCGACGAGGAAGCCACCGTGACCGGTGCGACAGTTGTGGTCGTCGTCGACGTCGAGGTCGTCGAGCTGGTCGTCGCCTTGTAGAGGGCATCGTTCCTATGCCAGTACTTCTTCGAGTTGGCGCAATCGACCTCGGACACGAAATGGCAAATGAAGGTTTTCTGATCGAATGCTGTGAAATTGGCACAGAGGAAGTCGTAACGTGTGCCGAAAAGGCAGTGATGATAGACCTGCCGAAAAGAAGATTTCTTTGTTTTGTTTCATGTGGCTTCTTTTTTTTTTTTGTTAATTATAAAAGATCTTTGAGATTTGAGGAAACCGTGAAACGAATGGTCGACTTTTGAAACGCTTTCTTTCGCTCTACTTCCACGAAATTCTTTTCTCGCATGCTGCTAAGAATCTCTCAGTCCCGATGTAGTAAGTCGAAACCATCGCTCAAGCGTAACCGTTTCTTTTATTTTTTTGTATTTTCTTTTTTTCTTTTGTAAAGCAAAAAAAAAAAAAATAGAAAAAAGAAAAAAGAAGAAAAACATCGTTCATGGATGCGCAACGTAATCTTTATAATGTGATACGAGATAAATCGTGCGGGATTAGTTCTTCGTAAGATGATTCCGACGGAACGATTATATATCTTAGAAGTTGTCGTTTTCAAATCCATCCTCGGCCAAGTCATTTTTCATTGGGACCACAACTATTATTCATAATAGGGTAACACTTGGGACTTGTTTTATAGCTAATTGCGAAATAATATATCCATCGATCGGTGAAAGTGACGGAAACGCCATGTTGTACTGGCGTTAAAACTTTCGAGAATTTTTGAGCACGTTTCTCCTTCGATTTGGAAAGCGATACATCATTATCAATATATAGACAAGTACGAAATTTAACGTATTTATTTTCGTTCCCTTCTTCTTGTTTTTCTTTTCTTTTTCCTTCTTTTTTCTTTATATATATATATTTTTTCTAGTTGATTATGTTGTCGACAGTTGACAGTTTTAACACACTTTTCAGAGAAACAGCCAGGTCGCCGGCGTTACCGTAGCTTTCACACCGTGCGGTATTATGCGTGTGTGTGTGTGTGTGTGTGTACGTATGTGTGAGAACGATCGTTTCGTTTCGTTTCGAGGCTTCGTGTGTGCACGCTATTGCGCACAGATGGAACTTGTCTCTCCGCGTATGAGCAGGATGCACGATTGTCTATCGCGCATACAGCCAACATGAATTATCTGACGGAATCATCTGGAATCATTCAGAGCACGTCCTTTCACTATCTGTCTCTTTCTATCTTTTTCTCTTTTTATTTCTCTTTCTTTTCTTTTCATTCTAATATCTTCTAATTCTTACTATTATCGACCGAACTTCTCCAATTTTTTTTCTTTCTTTTTTTTTTATGAAAAATGCAATTGCTCTTATAGTTTTGACATAACATAACGAACTGTTTAATGCTAATTACATCAATTGATATATGCGCACGTACATCAACGTAACTACAGAGATACATTTATTTTGCTTCTAATTGACGTGACTTTGAATTCAATATCTAGGATCCAGGATGAATGATTATTGATGATTGTATGTACGCATATATTTCTAACACTTTTAAACTATTCGATTCGTCGTAACTGTGTTCGTGTACGTGTGTGTTTTTAAAATTTCTATCGAGATTTAAGGGGAAAGCGAACAAGAAATCCGTTTGTTTTTCTTTTCTTTTCTTTTCCCTTTACGCCGACTGACTCGTAGACGAACGCAACGAATTTTCTTGCCGATATTTGCATAACAATGGTTTATCCACTCCCGACATACGGGTAAGCTGATCGATAAGTCCAGACGGAAGGAAGTTCCTTTGGCAATAGCTTTCACAATCTCGAGATTCGCTTAGCACGAAACGGTCAGGGATAAGAGACTTAGCAGACCACGAAAATATCTCCTTTCTGATTTACGTCCCTGTTCGTTGTTATTCTTCTCTTCCTCCGTTTTTACGAAACGCAGCCACTCGGAGATACTCCAACAGGAGAATAACATCGATGATCGTCGAGAAATACAATTTTTTTTCTTTATTTCTAATGATCTTTTTCTTTTTGTGTTTCCTATTTAGATACTAACATGCAATATTTTCTTTTTTTTTTTGTCATTAATAGTGATACGTATTAAGCCGACAATTATTGTTTTAATCTTTGTTTATATTTGATATTAATGTTATTTTGAAGTTTATTTGAATGATATATCTCACTCGAAATGTTTGTCCTTGACACCTTTAACCTTACCTTACCTTTAACTTACACGTAGACGTATACTATAACTTTTTATCTTCTCTATTTGTGTCATTAAATTATGCGATAAGGTAAGAAAGTTTTCTTGAAAAGTATCGTTAGGTGCATCCAAGTAGTTATTGCATCTGGATGCGCAGAATATGAGCTCTCGCTTGAACTTTGCCTTTCAAAGTCTTTGGTATCTAGTACCGGGAGTTTGATTATTATTCTTACCTGACACTTGTGAGGTACGCTCGCATAAAATCCATCGTGTAGGCCGTCGCACTTGAAGTCAATGTCCTCGGGAATGCTGTTGTAGAATGGATAATCGCTCAGATTGTAACCGTTCAATTCACGCGGCAAATTTGGATCCCAAATATAATCAATTTGTGGGATTCCTGTTAACATATGCCCGGTAGTTATGTTTCCCTCCGACGAGTTTGTCGCTGGCGTTGTTGTCTGAAAAATAATTGTTAATTTTGGAATCGTTCGAAAATATTAAAATTGAGTTATATCCTGTCTCTTCATCATTTGCGATGATTCTCAAATAATTTTCTCGATTATTCCGAAGACATTTATATTATATCTATGCATATAAGTAAATACATATGTATATAGAAAGAAAACACTCGGCAGTAAGAATTCGTAATTGTAAGGATGATGTCACATTCTGGGTTTACGTGCGAAGGTGAATCTGTAGTTCTTTCTTCGATGAGAGCTTTTTTTATTCCAAGTTTAACCATCGATGCAATAAATTGATTATTTGTCTATACCTATTATTAATTAACGAATTTAATGGGATAAATCTTGTATATTAAGATATAGGAAGTTGACATTATGGAAATCTACTCGTATCTAACTTTTTCATTTCAAAGTGGTGATCTATCGATAATGATGATGATGATGATGGTAATAACGATAATGTCTTTCATCATATCATCGTTCAATCTATTCTAAATGATCGTTTTAACATCACGTATGAAAGCACAGATTTCTTGACATAAAGATCGTTAGGATTCGTGATTGTAGAATGGATCGAGATAGTGTCGTAAGTAAGTATCTATTATATATATCAGAGATAAACGATTGTCTTACCATTATAATGTGGTAAGTAGTACGACGGGAACATGATATAATGTTACTGCCATACTTGTTCGTCTTTCATTTTGTATCTAGTGTATTAGTCATTTAAGTATTATGTAAGTACTACATATCTTTCGGACAGTGAAACGAATAAAAAGTGTGTTGACAAGGTCATTCTTTAACTTTTAAATTTTGTCTGCACGTTAAATTTGACTTCTTTTTGACCAACTAAATAAGGGTAAAAATTATAAATGATAAATTTTCAAATGATATTATAGAAGATAATAAAATGACCTTATATAAGTTATAATATATTTTATTTAGAGTTTTATCTGTTAATCCGATAAAATTTAATAAGATAAGATTTAAAAATGTAGATTTTTGATTGATATTTAACCTTACCACGGCATCCTCATTCACGTTTTCCTCGAGACGTGATTCCTCGGTCGTGGTCGTCGTCGAAGTTGTGGCAATTTTAAATTTCGGTCTCGTCGGCTTCAGCGCATCCGTGATCGCGTTGATCAATAAGAATCCTGGAATTTGAATGAGATTTTTCATTGATTCTGACGTCACTCAAAGTCCTTTTGTATTATTTTGTGTAACTCGCATTTCGCCGATCGCCTGTCAACTTTGTCGTAGGAGTGAATAATTATCTTTTTCTCTTTTCATCTCTCTTTTACATTTCTGTAAGAACAAGCAGTGGCGTTCTCATTTGTGGCAGGAGGAAAAAGTATGGCGTGTTAGATCACTCGTAATGGCCTCGATGAGTCTCGTCTTCTTCGGGAGAAGCAGTAAAAGAAAAGAAAAGGAAAAAAAAAAAGAAAAAAAATAGAAAAAAGGAAAAGGAAAAAAAGAGGCAGCACTTCAAAGGCCACTACGCATCCTCCGATTGCGAAAATCGTGGAGAAGCGTCGGAGTTGCAAAACGCGGACGACGTGCAGATAGAAAGAGAGAGAGAGAGAAAGAAAGAGGGAGAAAGAGAGAGACAGAGACAGGGAGAGAGAGAGAGAGAGAGAGAGAGAAAGAAAGAGGGAGAAAGAGAGAGACAGAGACAGGGAGAGAGAGAGAGAGAGTAAGAGAAGCGCAGTGAGAGCTCTAACGTAAGTGTCGCAATTTTCAGACGAGGAGCGAGCAAGCGAGCGTATTCGGTTGGGTAATTGTTTTCAAACGGATCAAGGATATTTATCGATCGTTTCCTTTTGGTCTTCATCGATTATCATTAAGCTATATTCTTTTTTTAATCTACCCATCAAAGCAAAATTATCTTCACTCCCACATTAATTATATTTTATATTAAGAATATAAAAAAAGTTATAATGAAGAAATATGATGAGTATTCGAGTACTCGTTCGAACAAGATCAAGTGAGAATCGAAATGTGATTTAGATAGTAAATCGATTATTTATTATATCAATGATAATAGTATATTCTATACAAAAACTGTTAGGAATAGTATAGTCTATTATTGCATTTGTTGATTTTACTACGATAAAAGATTTAACATGATCCTCGAATGTAACAATTCACGATAATTGTAAATAATTTCGTGTTACTTTCTTTTTTAAATACGTTTCTTTGGTCGTCTCTTCGTAGACGATCGTTCTTTGAAACCGGTTCAAGGTCGAGCGAGTTAATGAGGAGTATCGGAAAATAAAAGGCATTTCGTTATTGCGGGCAAAAGAAAAAGACAATTTCTTAGTTTCGTGACTTTCTATAATAATACCGAGATATCTCGAGGGTAAATCATTACTGAGAGAGAAAGAAAGAGAGAGAGAGAGAGAGAGAGAGAGAGAGAGAGAGAGAGAGAGAGATTTAAAATCAATGATCGGTGTTTAGAATCAGAAGAAAAAGTAATAAATAGTATCGTAATGATATTAATCAATCAATATGATAAATAAATTTTCAAACAATTGATAAACAGAGACAGTAAAAAAGCAATAATATTTATTATCTAATCCTTATAATATATTTTGATTACGAGAAGAAAATTGTGCAAAACATTTCTGTAATACATTGTACATTTCTTTCATATAAACTGAATATTTATTTTTCATATAACTCATCTTTCTTTCTTTCTCTCTCTTTTTTTTGACTCTCTTTTCTCTCTCTTTTTATTTTATTCTCTCTTTATATTATATATCTCTCTCGATATTCAACTATCTGGTTTATGCTTTTCAACGAGCTATTGATCGAAATCATATAGGAAACGATATGATGGGGAACGAACGATTGTGATTCGAGATATCGAAGGTTCTTTAGGTAGCGTTTGTCGTTGGGCTCGTGAAACGTGCAAACGATACCATTACGGATGGAAAAGAAAGAAAGAGAAAGAGAGAGGCTGTCCTCGATGTTGAAAATACACGAAGTTGAAGCCAAGCGATGGTTGGTGTGTAGCACCTTATAACGGGACTATACTTTTCCGAACAGGGATCGATAACGAACGGTAACATATTGCACGTCGTATAAAAATAAATTATGAGAACGTGCACACATTCCAATTGTGGGAAATGTTAACGTGGGTGTGAGTGTTATTGCTATATGTGTGTGTGTGTGTGTATGTGTATATATATATATATATATATATATATATATGTAAATATGTAAATAGGAATAATCTACGAATGTTACCAGCAAGAATATAAAAGCATTTTTTGTGACGAAATAGTATATCGACAAGTGCGCGTAAACAAATTGCCTCATCCTATTATCTTATGCTAAGCACAATAAGCAAATCGATTTCTGTCATCAAATGAGAATGACCTGACATTTTCAAACTGTAGGCGTGTTTACATGTCTTAACTTGTTAACGTGTGATGAGTATTTCAATGATGAATAATAAAAATAAAGAGAAAATTCACATAAATAAAGCAATTATAATTCTTCGTAAAGACATCAAAATAATAATTTTAAAAGAACTCATAAAGAAATGTTTTTGCCAATTAAAATTAACTTAATACTTTTCTTTTCGTAAGAAAGAAGATCGTTCGCTAACAATGGTCTTTTTAACCAAATGGTAAACAACCGTTACTCTAAACTCGACTCGCTGGCATAGACAAATATGGAGATTCTCCTGAAATACCTCAATCCTTGTGAAGAAATAGCGTGAAGAAAATTCTAATGTTTATCGCTATATACTGCTCATTATTTCCGGCAACTCTAAAAGGACTTTTACGAATGTTTTAATCCAAATAGTCTCGTATATCTACCTACCTTGTTGCAGGTAATATTAATGAACGCAAGTATTTCACTTCTATGACCACGTTAATTACGACATTTAGGTAGATAGTCGTGAAATTTAGTACAACGATTTTACTCAGATCTTTGTGAAAACGAAAAATATGAATTAATTTCGTTTTATATTATTTTCGATCGAGATATTAGTAATAATCTTCTATTTATTTAATCAATATCTTTATTAATAAATATTTTTATTAATTAATCGTATATATATATTTTGTAAAATAAATGATCAGTATATTTGAATACATTGGCTGGTATAAATTAAGTATCAGAGTTACGTCATTCCTATTACATACCGTTATTCTATTATAAATGACGACTTATATACAATTCTAATCAAATGTTTAAAAATAACAGCGTTTACCTGATAGAAATAGTAGTTTTTAATAATCACCTTGTACGCGTTAATACATAATGCCTATCTAGGTATATAGGTATTATATATTATATATGTACGTGCACGAAACGAATGTTTACCGATCGGTGAAAATGTCAGAAAGAATTTTAAATGTTAAAGTCCATGTCACGTGATCGATTTCGAATGGTCCAGTGAATGTAACGTGCTTGCGAGCTATAAGTAAGTAAATATGTTGCCGATTGAACTAAATTCCATTGCAAATTTATTTAATTATTTATTTAATTATTTATTTACTTATTTATTTATTCATTTTTATTTTTATTTTTATTTTTATTTTTATTTTTATTCTTTTTTCCCCTTTATTACATTCGTATCTCTTAACGAACAAATTTCATCGAAGCTCTCATAATATCGTCATTTTTAAAAATTTATCAAGCGTTGGTGGATACTTTGGAATTCCATACGTTACTTCCTACTTTCCTCTATCGATCTTAAGGATTTACGTAAACAAGCATTATAACTGAGAAGACGCGCGAAGTTATGTACATATATATATACAGACATAGGTATGTATATATTCGTATATACATACGAGTCTTTCTCGAGGGGAATAACGACAAAGAAAGCAAAATACGTTGATATTCGCAACAGGTTTACCTTCGTCCAATCGAACACCCCTTTATGAATTCTTGCAAAATCATTCGTATGCTAAAAATTGAACGATTTGATATGGTTGATCATTGGTTTATTCGTATTGAAAAAGAAAAAAAGGAAAGTATCCGTTTCAATATTTTTTTCTTCGTTAAATAGTTACTTAAGTACATATGTAAGTATATTCACGTGATGCGTTTGTATGAAGAAGTATATACGAGTTTAGTGTGAACTAGCCTTTATTCACTTTGAATGCAAAAATGTCCAGATGGAAGGTCATCCACTGTCTTCGCATTCCTCACCAAATACGGCGAGTCCAAAAATACTGGGAGACTAGGAGAAAGGACTCTCTTAGAGTTAAAGGAATGTATAAACACAGACTTAAAGGAGAAAAAAAAAGAAAAACAAAAGAAAAAGAAGAAAAAACGTTCAGTGGTGAGGTAAAACTCCGTAGAGGAAAATTTCTTTGGGTTTTTACTCACCAAATAAAGCGAGCAGAAGCCATCTTTTCTCCCGCATGTTGTCGTTACTGTAACAATAAAAGAAAAATTACACATTTCTATTTATTCTATGATTATAAATAAATTTATTGTAATAACGTATCCTTGTTGAGCTTCAAATTATTAATATAAAACTATAAATAGATATGGCAAGAAAGCGGAAATAAAATGAGAGAGAATGAAAGAGAAAGAGAAAAACGCCCACGAACAATATTTTTTATGGTATATGTACGAATTTTGAATTAGTATAAGCGGTATAGTAGCATAATGGAAGCGTACTCTCGACGTCGAATGTGTGTACCATAGAGGCGGTCGAGTGTATGGCTAAGGATAGAAACTTTCTCTGTGCTGTCACCACTGCTAACTATATAATGCAAGAATAATGTAGGTGTTATATAAATGCATGATCACGTAATATCAGGTGTGACTTTGTCGTCATCGATACCATTGATAGATTTTTGTTTCTATTCATTCTTATCAAAATTGAATTTTGAATTTGAGTCCTCGAGAAATCTAATCACGTTCGAGAATTATTTCTTTCTTTTTTTCTATATAATTAAATCGTGATTTAGCGAAGCCGAATCATTCATCTATAATTACAAAATTAGCGAAATGTAATTCCGGTGTCCATATCTACCGGTTCTTTCGCCATTCGTGTATGATTTTGTATTGGCTTCGAGTGCTGTATCTATTATATATAATATAATAGTACATATATTACTTTTTGTTTTATTATATATATTTGTTTTATCATATTTGTACATATTATTATTAATTATTAATAATTGTTTCCTTTTGACTTCGAGTATTATATTATATTTAATAGATATAATAAAATGGTATATATATTTTTGTTTTGTTATATTTCTATATATTAATTATAAATAATGAATAATAATAATATATGTATAATATTATATTATTTTTCTTAATATAATATTTAATATTATATTAAGATATTTATTGATATATTATTAATATATTTTTTTGGATATACCAAGAAACTCTATACCGAGAAATGTGTAAATTGATAAAACATATGATGTTAAGAGGAAAAAGATTATATTAAATTGAACGAGTGTTATCGCGATACGAGTACGATAAGAGCGTAGACGATCGTCTTGACATTTGTAACTGCATTAATTGACGCAAAAGAATCTTCCTTTCGAATCGTACGAGAAGTACGATACGAAAGTTTATTCTGAAAGGTCTTGTCTTTACTATATTATAGTCAGCTCATCAATAGACAATATTGTTTTTCACATATTAGTTCTTAGATGTCTTCTTTTTTTACGTGAATATACATTGAAAAGAAATTATACAATCGGTCGTTTGATTAAAAGTTTTTATTAAAGAAGAAACGTTCGGAGAATATTTTCGATATATACTACGTACGACCTTAAGGTTTTGAACTTCTTGATGACGATATTTTGGAGTTAGGTCTTTTTATTGTTGGATACATTTGGTGAAAGTAACCTTGCATCATGCTCGTTTCGTATTGGTTCAGTCCCGTTTACCTATTCGTTTTTTAATGGTTATTTTTAAACGAAATCATCTATCACTAGAAAGTACGGGCGTGTACTTATTTACAGGTGTAATGGAAGTGTACGGAATGGTAACGATAGTAAAATGAATTAGGCAATTGGGAAAAAGTTTTATTACTCATTTCCGTTATTAACAAATAAAAGGCAAAGATTCTATGGATTTGTTTTATGTAAGTTTCGTGAAATTCGTTATTATGAAATTAATCAGTAAGATTTATCAAATATCGTCAAATGTTGTTTTTAACGATTTGATAATATTCTATCGAGAAATGTAAATATATTAGATTTAATTAATACTTTGTTTATGTAAAAATGAAATTTTAATTATACGCTTAAGGTTTCATTTTAAAATTATTTAAGTTTCGGGAGAATTTCGGATACGGAAGAAGAAGAATCGTTCAGTGATCTCAAAAGACTTCCTTGAGATCTTTCAATGTTCCTTTCATGTAACTTCCGTAGGGTGTTAATCCAAACCAAGAGGATTTCCCAGACAGCTTGAGAACTCGAGTAGTACATTGTGACATGAGACAAGCTATTACGAAAACTTGTGTAATAGAATGACATGGTCCTTCGTTTCTAACTAACGGCAAAATCGTTGATGAACTCTGTTTCTCTATTGCTTTCACACATACATACGAACGATAATGATCTCTTTAGAAGCGAACTGGAGCACGGCGATAGCGAGGTTTAATTGACGCGAAATATGCCAGTCGGTCTTTGGCATCGATTTATGGAGCGTTCTACATTTTTGAGTGAAAACCGAGACGAAAATTTTAAATAACCAACAGCAAAATGGTCGTCTTGAACTTTCGTAAAATTATTTATATAGATATCTATATTTTTACCTATTACATTACATTACACGTTATCACAAAAATACATACATATGTACATACATATATGTCATGAATATAAATATACGCAAAAACGTTTATAAAATCATCCAATCGTCATTGTTAAATTTTTAATCATTCGTGATAAAGTATAAGAAAAAAGGATAAATGATAAAGGATAAGAAAAATTTTAATGACATTATATTAAAGGATTTTAATTAAATTAATAAATATATTTTAATTGGACGATTTTAATATTTAGATCGGTCGACTAAAAGCAACGATTAACCTTTTTAATTCAACGTGCTAAGCTAGAAATTTATGGTCGTTTATTATTCGACGACTGACAACATACATTGAAAACGTAAAATCTTCGATACGATCTAAGTAGTAATGCGAATCGGATATCTCTCGTTTTTTTTTTCTTTTTTTTTTTATCGTAAGATGGTATCTTCTTTTTTGAGAAAAGAAAATACCACAGTGGATTCTTCTTCGTACGGAAATCAAAATACATACATACTTACACAGAAGGCGATACTCGTAACGTTACTTTACGGTAAATTACGTTACGTTACGACATACGAATAACGGTCATCCGCGACCACTAAAGGTTACCGGAAATGATGACTGAAACTACTACAACTGTTAACTTACACGCTCGATTCGCTTTTTCAAACAATGAAAATTGATTATAAACGAAGTTATTAATATAATTAAAACGTCGAATACCGTAGAAGTTGAAAGATCATATTTAATTTTTCAGATTATATTAAAACCATAAGATTTCTTTTAAAAAAACAATTGAAAGATTAAAAGTATAGATACGTATATCTTAATAATAATAAAATTTAATGTAAAAGAAAAAAAGAAATGAATTTTCTTATATCGTTTGATTTAAAAAAAGAAATGTATTAGATAAATGTATCGATTTATATGGTCAATTGTTAATTGGATAATGTGAAAAAACGTTAATTCATTCTCGATCGATAAGTGAAATAGATTAGTGTTCTTTTTATACTAAGATACGAACAACTTTCATATTTTTCGTATTTAATTTTCATAATTATATAAAAATTCAATAACCCACGATTAATTTTTGCGTATCACATTTAACAGGACAGTAAGTTCGATATTTTTTTCTTCTTCTTTTTCTTCTTCGATTGAGTATGCGCCAAGGCGTGGTTACAAAACTCGATAGCCTTCAAAAGCAGAGCACGCCGTGGCAGGCTTTCATTTCCTCGTGTCTACAAATACGAATGCTGAAGCGAATGATCAAGTCTGGAGTGGTATATTATTGAGTAAATTACCGGTTGAAGAAAAATTTGCGTTGTGTTATTGCTCGCTGGTTAATATGCGGATTCAAAGAATCAAAAGAAAAAGAAAGGGAAAGAGAAAGAGAAAGAAAAACAGGGAGAGAAAGAGAGAGAGGAAAGAGATAGAAAAAGACAAGACTAACGTCGATCAAAGGATGACACTAGGTAATATTATGATATATATATGACCTTTCACCTTTTCTTATAAGATTATCATAATTTTTCTTTTTAGGTGCGCCTATATTCGATAGTAATGTCATCAAAAATCTACGTCTTTCGTAATCGTCTCTTGGAACGTAACATATCTTGCTTTTATCGTGTTATTACCTTTCTTGGACGACGAATTCGTTGTTAGCTCGATTACATGAGAGAATAATCGTATAAGAATTGGTAGTGATTTATCGTCTATTCGAATTGATTTATGTATATTTGTCATTAGTCGTGATCGGGATAAAGATAGGGCAAATGAAGTATACATCTATGATAAAAATAAATCGTGACGTTTCAAGACCGTTAGATTCAATGTGTTTGATCATGATGTCTTTCCATATTCTGTCTTTGATAAAAGTTGATCCGTTAGAATCAGACGTGTTTAATATTGTATGTTACGTATTAATCATAATCATACAAATGTACGGATATAATATTTGTCAAATAATTAAACATACGAAAATAATCGAAAATTTAACGGGAGAAAAGTTTTTTTTAAAAGAAACGAAGAGAAGAGGGATGATGACTTGTTCAGGTTGAACATGATTTTCAAGAGTAATTTAGAACAAGGCGAAAATAAATCTTTGGCAAGAACCAGCTAAGTTCCACTAGGGCATACATAAATACTACATATCTATGTATGTATCAATGTATATATGTGTTGGTATCTACTCTTTTGTCACGATCCTTCTACTCTAGATAGATTGGTCACGATGTTCACTCGGCCGAGAATATGTACAAGACGGTTTCGCATGGTACGAATCCGGTTTTGTTTTTATTTCATATATGGTTATATTACTTTCATCGAAAGAAGAACGCGTTGTATTGTTTATTATTATTATTTGTGTATATCTATATCGAATAATACGCGTAATATACGTTTCATACAGAAATATTATTAATAATAAATATAAATCAATATATATATATATATATATATATATATATATATATAAGTATATTATCTTTATATGTAAATATTTAAAAATATACAAAATATTATTTTTAACGAAGGAAGAACACGTTGTTTTTCTTATTACTATCTATATGTATATCTATAGTGAATAATACCTCTAATATACATGTTATATACAGACATTATTATTCATGGATCTGTGTAGTTATATGTTATATAAACATATATTGTTTTTGCATGTACATAAGTACTTGAAAACTTTTATACGAATATATTACTTCCAGAGAAGGAAGAACGTGTTGCTTTACTCATTATTATTTATGTGTATATTTATATCGAATAATATGTGTAATATAAGTTTTATATACAAATATTATTATTCATAGATATAAATCAATATCTATGCCGATATATATAAATGTATATTATTTGTGTATATATATAGATATTTGAGAATTTCTATACAAAATATGTATAATATACAAATTGAATTAATAACCATTGACATGTAAAATAATACTTCATTTAATAAGTATCTTCGTGTGCTATTCATTGCACGGTTCTTTGAAGAGGATAGGCTCTAGGTTAATTAAATAATAACATTATTAAACAATAATTGTCTTTTAAATTTTCATAAAATTATTTTTTTTTTTAAATATGTATTTATATTTTTCTTCAAATTTTCTCTTACTCAAATTACACTTTATACGTTCAATTTCTATTTTATTTTTTTTCTCCTTTCGAACTAATACTTCCATAATAAATTATGAAATCATCCAGACATTTTTTATTTCTATAAAAAATCACGATTATTTATTTTTTATTTTATTTTTAACCGATATATTTTTATGTGAAGAATCAATTTTCTTCGCATATTCCTTCTTAAAATTATTAAAAACGATTGAGCTATTATACAAAAAATTAATCGAACTTAAGTTAAGAGAAAGTAGTGGATTTTAGAGATTATTATAGGATCCTTAAAATATTTTCTTTAGAATGTTGAAAATTTATGGCAAATTTAATGCGGATACGTTGAATAGTATAGAATCTTTTATATAATAAACATACTTTGACTTTTATATACACCTACTCATATACACACACATACACACGTAGAAGATTAGAAAAAAATTAAATATTTTGTAGTAAATATTCGTTTCATTTTAATAATAAACAAGACATTAATTTTGGCAATAGTTATCAATTCAGATTATATCTACCTATTTGATTTCTGTGGATACACATTTCATACCAATAGAAAATATTTGTAACGTTCATCATGGTAAGTATACAATATATGATTATCAACGTTAAAGACATAGAACGTCGTTAAAATAACGACACATAGACGCTTTATTATATTATACTACTTATTAATAGAGTCATATTTATATTGTCTGACACGAACTATTTATTCTAATACATTTTCCCATGTGTAAAGAATTTGTATGGAATAATATTCCATAGATATTATCAGGTACGTGTTTCTTCGATTATATATGATAAAAAGAATCGTATCCGAATTTCTTGGAAATTATATATGCATATACATATATATGTATATATGTACATACGTAATCTCTGATGAAAGTTAATATACCTCGATCAGCGTGAATCTCGTTACGGTAGTTCGATGCTCGGTATTTACAGTTTCGATCCAATCTTAAATCTTAGATCCGTTAGAGTTGCGTTAGATTGACTACTATATCTGGCCTATGCCCTTGGAAACGAACATTGTTTATTTCTATTTCTTTCTTTCTCTCTCTTTCTCTCTTTCGTTTATTTCCATACGACTTATGATTCGTGTCAGTTGCGTATATACTATACATACAACATATGTATGTATATACATAAATCGAGTTTCTGCATCAATGCACCGAGATTTATAATCTGGTACGTGTGTCTTGCACGTGCAATAGTTAATTATGCGTTTACCAACCGCTAAGCTTCATATCATTGTACGATAATATCGCGAGAAAATGTTTATTAGTCGAATTTTTTTACTTCGTTCTATTAGACAACCGGGGTTTCCAAATTTTCAATCATAAGTCTTGATTGTCTATACATATAATATCTGATTACCGTGGTAAGCATGTTTCTACCATAATAGATGTCACGATAATTTCTTCGATAGAGAACTTTTCCTTTTATTAAATGTTAAAAGTCGAGCAATGCCTTGCTCAAGATTCAGACTTAATGCCGCGTAGCTTCTCGTGACGAGTCGTTGAGATTATCCACGAACAAGTCCGACATCAACCTAAGTACTTACCTACACGGTATTTCGAAAATACGTCTTCTGGGATTACGTTAACGTCTTTAAATCCGCGAATCGCTATGCCTTTTAACGTTTACCTCCTTCATAAGATTTTAACCGATTCTTCGTGATCACGACGTACCAATCGAGATAGCAAGACTGAGAGAATTAAAATATAACGTTGTGTTAGATCACATAAAACGTAACGTTGATAATTATTAAAAAGAATATCGATTTATAATACATTGTTAGAATGTCTCCTCGCAATACTCTTTTTTTTTTATTTTGACAATGTCTAATAATGTCTAATAATTATTATTATTATTTTTTCTTTCTTCTTCAATTCTCAATGTTCGAGTATGCGAGTTCGTTCAACCAGGAATCGATGAAACAACGTACTCTTTCATAGATACTTTAATATATAGATATATACGTAAATATATATATAATAACGTTTAGCTTGAAATTTTCTACAGGAATAAGTGCTCCCACGATGCTTCACGACGTTGCTACGAAGTAGTCGGGAAGCGTTTTGGTCGCTTTTGCCGGCTGAAGAAAACCGGCTTGGAAATAAAATGATTTCACTCTTGGCTGCGAATAAAATTTATTCGAGCGTAAAGTGCCGTTTCGCGTTGTTTTATCGGTTCATTGTGTAAGATCGAGTCGTTCTCGAAAGAAAATATAGTTTCGTCTGTTATCCGATACTGGGACAAAATATTAAAGAAAAATATTTCCGATCGTTTCCGCGATAAGATCGTGTTCTATTATCCTTCACTTTTCCGGTGAATTATATTGTATTATATATTTGTTTATTTATTTATTTTTTTTTCGATCGATTTTTATCCCTCCTATTCGTTCGACGTTTAATTCGATTGAAATTCATCATTGTAGAAAATAATTTTCGTATTATTTGAACAAGTTCCATGAATCGTTTCTTTTCGAGATATTTTTCGTGTGAAAATATCACGAAACGTTAATATAAATCGATAATATCTATTCATTGGAAATTATTTTTTTTTAAATAGACATTTCGTGAAAGCGATATCACGCAACATCGAATACGAACAAACCATCGTTGTTAATACATTTTAAACGTATACCATTTTTGGTCGTTAATCTTTTTATTTTAGAAAGAGTGTGTATGCTTTGATATTAACGACTGATTGGATTTAAAAAAAAAAAAGAAATAACAGTTTCTCTCGGTATATTTCAAAGATTAACGTTATGATATTTTTCGATATCTCGTATACTTTCACAATCGAGTTATTTTATGAAGGACGAAATGTAAATTTCATGATTAATTTTTATATCGTTTCGACTAATTATCGATATTCAATTATCTAAGAAATATCTTAAATTTTATTTAACGTTTTAACGAATCAGATTATCGTTTTCGATATCTCTGTATTTCCAGTTGATTTGTTAAATGACTCGAACGAATCTTAAGGAAGGCATAGTGTTTCGTGTAATGCGATTTAAGACGAAGCGGATTTTAATCCGTTTATATATATCTAGCTACTTCAAAATTGATCGATTTACGATTGATTTAAGAATAACGAGAATGTTATTGAAAAACGCAAAATGACATCTCTCATTAAATACCTTTTTCTGATTTCGATGAGAAATAATAAAAATCAGAAATTACAAATCACTTTTCTATATGCACTTTTCTCTATATGCGATTATCCCGAGGAAAAAATAGATAAAGTACTTATGTGTCTATGTGATATGCGATTGACGAGATAATCGAGAATCGAAATGAGTGGAAATTCGAAATGATACTTCGATTTTTCAATTTAACATTGTCACATGCTAAAAGAAATCTGATTTAAAGCAAATCGCCGATAGAGATTAAAAAGAAACGAATTTCATTTGAAATACATTTTCTTTCATATTTTTTTTCTTTTTTCTTTTTACGTGGGAACTTCTTTTCGTGAGAACAGAATGATAAATCCTTCCGGCTTTTTGAATAAAATTCGAATAAACGAGAAAGTCAATTTCCGAAAAAAAACTTGATCATTTGTCTTTACTTCTTTTTCAGAATCTAAATAATGAATGGACAAACGTAAATTGCTTATATTTCTTTTTATTTCCCTCCTTTCTTTCAATAATTTAAACGACGAACACTAACATTGAAAAAAATTTTCATTCGTTACTTATTACGTTCATTTTTCAAACTCATTTTACTTAATTATTTCCTGTTAACGAATTATTTCCTATGGACATATTTAAAGTTAATTATCTTCGTTAAATATTATTCATCCGCAATAAGTCGACATATCGAATGAATAAATCTTATATATAATAATCTCGATTCTGTCGACTGTCTATGGATATAGAATAAAAAGAATGACAAAATTATGTATACTTACGTACTTACGTTTGTACTTACTTACATACGTACATACATGGGAAATGGCGGACATGCTTGTTAAAGTAATCGCCTATGTCGCGATATACTATACATATATATACACTCACACATACACACACATATATATATATAATATATATCATATGGTGAACTGAATTTTCACTGCCAACTATGATCGTCCGTCGTTACTAACAGTACAACGTACGATTAGTACCGGATCATTACGCGTCCCACGATGATTCTTTCGAGAGAGTTCTTGTCGCGGTTCTTTGACCTCAAGTTAACCACAAACTTCTTATTTGTAGGGTCGCTCTGTTCGTCGCCGTCGTCGTCGTCGTCATCGTCGTCATCGTCGTCGTCATTGTCGTCGTCGTCGTCATCATCGTCGTTGTCGTTGTCTCGTTCCTGAGGGTACATGTCCTTGAGAACGAGTACGGAGTGATCCTTGAACCGAGCAGGAACGTTGTTCGACTGGTATCGTTGCAAAACTAATTTCTCGTTTAACCACGAAAGTAGATATATAAGCGATATATACATATATATATATATTCTTCAAATGTATTCTGTATATTAATACATATGTATAATTTATAGAGTATGGTTGTAAAGGATAAACGGTGCAATCACGAAAGTAAATTCCAACCATCGGTGACCCGCCTTTCAACGTAATTTTCTATCCAACGTTCTACAAGCCCTTCGCTCGTTCCGTATAAATCTCGATTTGTCTTTCCCATAAGGGAAAGGTAGGTATATCGAGAATGTACATAACCATTTACATTGTATATACATATACATTAAATATCTAGTCTGTAAAATATCTATGATGGTGATTGGTTATATTATATAAATACGTATCGAAAACGAAGGTTTTATCGTTAGGAATCTGTACGATATGAAAAATAACGTTTTATATTTACATCAACTGGAAGTATATGGGATCGTTTACGTAACATTGTAAGTATATATATGTATATGTGTGTGTTATATATGTATACATATATAATATCGTATAAGTATCTTACTTCTCCGGTGGTATGCGTCTAAGCGATCTATAGATATAGTACGAAACGAGTCATTGTACGCTTTACAAGGAATTTACGACCGAAGTGATTTATCGTTGTTCCGATAATCGATCGATCATTTTTCACATACAAAATATCCGTTATTGCGATATATATATATATTATATATATATATTATATATATATATAAGAATATATGTGTATATAATTTACTTTCTTTCTTTCTACATATATAATTTTTTTAGATCGAATGTCAAGAACTTTTTTGAAGAAACTTTTGTTATTTTTATTTCTGTAATCATTTTTTCTGAAAAAAATGATCAATTCTGAAAGAAGCCAAAGAAGAAGAAGGAAAAGAAAATGTAGGTGTTGACACAGTCAAAAAATCGGTCGATTAACGATAAGCCTCGTTACGAATGTAACAGGATCAACCATAAAACTATTGGTGCGTTTGATTATGGCGAAGTAGCTGCTTTATTTTTCCGTCGGCGTATCTCGTCGGAGAAAGCCGACGA